ATTTTTTTGTGATCTAATCAACGAGCAAATAGAGTAAGAAGCGGCAGAACTTTTTTAGCTGATGAATCACTTGTAACTTTGGACTCTACACATAAGATAGATTACAATGAGATATGATTTGTAAATAGGTATTGAACAATGGACTGAACGTGAAGCCCATGCATTTCTAAAAGAAAAATTTCTTGATCGACATATTATTCCACGAGCGGCAATATTTTGTCGTACATCAGGTGCATTTGCTAATACAGCTGTACTACAATCATTGTTTCGTGAACTTGAATCTCATGGGGTGGCTTTATTTTATGTTATTACTCGATGGCCATTTTTACCACGACGTGAACAAATCGCTATTGTAGATGAAGCCATTGAGTTATTAGGTGGTACAGCTACAGGTATTTATCCATCTAAAACAAGAACTATGAATACAAATGTTCAACAAGTAGACATTGTACCATCTTCATCAGGTATAATTTAATTCAATTTAATTTTTTTTTCAAAGCGTAAATGAATAATATGTTTTTTTAAGGTGTTGGATGTTTTGGTTCTCGTCGTGCTTCCCATCCTCTTCCAGCTAATGCTTCAGCTCCTATTTCACCACCAATACCTCTTTATCGTGCACTTGAATGCAAGCATGATATGTCTTATATTGTTCCGGTTAATTCATGTCTTGATGAACTTGGTGATACTTCTAGATCGGCTACATTTCCTGTTATGAATCTTATTCTTCTTCGACAATTAATTATAACAAAAACATGTCGTGGAAATGATCGAGAACAAAAATTAATTGATTTATATAAAAATCAAATGTCTCTATTTGCTACAATTGGTTATCATGCATTTGAAGTACTTGATGATCTTGGTTATGGTGCATCATCATTTGGATTAAATAAAAAAGAAGAAGAAATATATCGAGCATTAAAACAAGGTGGTAAAAATCAACATATGGCTACACCTGTTGTTAAAGTAGTTATTGATAAAGTTACAGGAACAATGTCATTTCCTATGACCTTAGTTTCATTAGCAGGACCTATGATTTCTACTATTGCTAAACGTCAAAATAATGATGCATAACAACAATAAAAAAATAACATACCTATTGATATTCTCGCAAGTGTTGTTTTTTTTGTTGTAAGTGGAGTATTGTTTTATAAAATGAAAAGTTTTTTCATTTATTTCTCTTTTTTTTATTTACCTCGATCACATATTGTCTAAGAATGGCAAATATTCTTGAGTATTGATCAGTATATCATGATTTGTATGAAAATTATATTTTAATATTTAAAAGCGAAAACCAAAAGATGTAATAAATAAAAAAGGATGTGTGTGTCTGCATGGGTGTGCATGAGCAGAAGCGCCACACTCAAACTCACACCCTAATCGGTAACATGCCACACTATCCACAAATGTTGACTTATGCCAGTCAACCAGAAAGTGAATGGAGACTGACGGAAAACGAAAAGCGCTCTGGTCGGTACCAAAAAAATGAACTAAATATCGAAGATAGAATTTCGAATGATCAGTCTCATTCTTTAACTGACCCTTGTTCACTACTGTTACACTCGTTCTTCGAATAAATCAAATCGAACTGTTTAGATTAGCCGACGTGCTCGTTCTATGGAAGGAAATTGAAAAAAAACAATCAATTAGACGAGATTGACATGTTGGACAATCACAAGAATGAATGATGACCATAATCAGAGACGATAGAAGGCCATTCTCTTTTGCATCTATGTTCGAAAACTTTGCAACAAACTATCATGAGAAATACTGGAAATGAGAAGTTCTACTCGGATTTATTTCTTTATTGTTACTTTGTTTTGCTCGTCCATTTGACGTCATTCATTGGAAGGAAAATTATTGTGCAAACGATCCTAAAAATGGAGACTTGACTTTCAGTTTGGATCAATCATGTGTTCCCTGCTCATTCAGATTTGGTTTTTGAAGCGAACAACAATTAGAAAAGGCTTTTTAGAGTTAATTTTAGCTTGAGGAATGTCATCAATGTTGAGTTTTATCTGTTGATGTGAAGGCACTTCCATGAAAGCAACGTCGATCTGTCCCATCAACTTCGAGTATTGCACTGAATGAAGACTTGATGGTCGCCTGTCAATAAGTGTTCAAGTTGCTCGAGTTCTTCGTAAAATTTGAGAGATTGGTTACCATTGAGCATGAGAAAACGGAAGATGACTTGATTAGTTCCCTCAAGTTTCAATGCTTATCAAAACTAGATTTCATCAAGACTCGAATGGAACACGGATAGAGTGCGAATGTTCAACATTGAATCGAAAGCATTTTTCATGTTTAAAAGATCGTAGTCGAAGTATTTGTGGAGTAAGAACAAAGGGCCGCTTCACCTATGTGTAAAGAAGAAATTAGACGCAGCCTCTTCTTTTTTCTTTTCTTTCTTGAAAGTTGTGTAGGCCTGATGTTATCTACCTTCTATTTAAGTCAACAAAGGTGTGCAAGCAAAATTTGTGTCTTATCTCAATCAAACACTCATCCGTAGTGTGGACCTTTTGTCGACTTATCGAGTAAGAACTATTTGATTTTATTGTCTGTCACAACGTAATTGAGCGACTCAGTTGTCTCTCCTCAGTAACTCTTCTGGCGTTAGTCCCATTGAACACAAATCGTGTGATTCGAGTTTCAGAGATAGTATATTTCATTTGATTGGTGTATCGAGATAGATAGTAGATATGCATCTAATGAATATTTTGTGAAATTCATCACGCTTGATTGTGCTTCTTTTCTTGGGACTTTAGCTGTGTTTTCAGTAGTTTATATGATGCATTTGATTTGTTAACATCGATTAAAAAGCTATTTAATTTAGATTGAACAAAGTGATTACAAAGCATCGAAATAACTTCGATCGATCTTCTAAACGAATAGACGTTCTTCAACGCATCAGAAACCGCTACGGGTACAAACTCTTTTCATATCTCATCTTGACTAGGGCAATGTCTTCAGACACGACACATCGTTCTTTGCCTATAAAAGGAGCATTTCTCAAATTGCTGCAGCCTGAACATTTGGAGCAACTGTACGAATTGTTTGAGCTGAATCGAGACTATCTTCGTGAACACATCCCAGGCATTGATTCAATTCAAACGCGAGAAGATCTTCAAAAAAGATGGATAATGTCAAAGAGAAATTCGCTACAATTCGGATTGTGGTTGGACGAAAAACTGATCGGTCGATGCCGTTTGACACGAGATGAGAATTCGTCTTGTGCCGATATTGGATATTGGCTCTCGAAATCTCATCAAGGACGCGGATTGATGACTGCGGCAGTGGAAGACTTGCTTCGATTTGCTTTCGAAGTCTGGAATGTACAACGAGTAGAAATTCACTGTGGTGTCAATAATGTCAAGTCTCGAGCTATTCCAGAAAGACTCGGATTTGTCAATGAAGGGATACTAACGAATGGTCCTGCTATTCAACTCAATGGACAAATGGTTTTATCCGTTGTTTATTCTCGATGCAATCCAACTCAGCAATGAAACGTGGAAAGAATGAACAGCAGTGCTCTATCTCCACCTTCAAAACAGAACCCATTTGTGTTTCATTGTCCTTCCGAGAGAACAAACAAATCTGATGTCTCATTTTCTCCCTAACACAATGTTGATTCTTTTTTCATTCAAGTAAACGAGCTAAAATAAACTCTGAGCAGATCACAATGAAGGCTCAGTTGCTGAAAAGAAATGTGTCTTGTGGCTCCAGATCGCTCAAATACATGTATGGGAAGTCGAACGAGTTTGATCAGTCTGTAGAACTCAACTTTCTTCTGACAATTGAGTGATAGTCTTCCGACGAATGAACACCACCTGCTCGCTTGTATTTTATTACAAGGAGAACACGCACACACTGTTGTTGAACTGAGACATTTTGTTAAAAGATTGTATACCTAGAAGTTCTCCTCGTTTATCCAAGTGCTGTGTGATCTTGTGTGTGCTTCCTACTGTTCTGATGCACGATCTCTCGCCTTGTTGACCGCTGTATATGAGTAACAAGTACACTTGGAGAAATCGACTCTGAATGGTACATACCTCCACATATCAGTTTCTCGTTCCAGATTTTATCAACTGTATCTTTTGAGAAAAAAGATCATCAAATTGCTCCAGTGTAATTCGAAGCAGTCATGCTATGAAGACGAAAATTTGTCCTCTCTTCAAGTTGAGCTGAGTCAGCCAACGGCACTTACTGATTTGATCCATTTGATTGCTGAAAAATGCTCGTCAACAGTAAACGAGTGGGTCGTTTTGTTTTCCACTGAGGATGGGTGTGGGTGTGAGTGTGAGTAATCAGTTCTCTCATTTACCCTAACATCCACATCGACACCCACGTGTTACTAAACTGAGATATGTATTGTTTTTCTTCGTATTATAACTTTATACATGACTTAGTATAGCTGATGGATGCTTATAGTTTAGCAAAAGATGTTGTAACGATAACCAAAATAATCAGTGATAGTTGAATAAGACATGATCTCTGATCATTTGTTATCAAAATCCATGAAAAGCGAACAATACTAGTTTGAGTGGACAATGACAAGATTTTGTCTTATAAAATAAACTAATCTAACTTAACAACAATGTGAAATTTTTCATTATTGTTTCCTTGATTTTATTTCGTTTAGTCTAAAATTTGAATTGTTTTTCATCAGTGTAGTTTAGAAATTTTCAATAAATAATCAGCGAATATTCTACTTTGTTAAGAATGCATTGAATATTCGTCTCTATGGAATCATTAAAAAAAAATGCTCTTTTATTCTTTTAAAACTCTTAACTAAAATTTTGAGAAAGATCATTGGATTTCTAATTTGCTTTACATTAACATTATTCATAAACACTTATTTATAAAACATTTTTCAACATTATGAATTTATCCAATAGTTTGACAAAGATTGTGTTGATACTTTTGAATAGTTCCTGGTTCATTTGTAAAAGTTTTTTTTAAAATGAATATCTACTATATAATCTGAAATACAAGTTGAACTTTGTTTAATCTTTCATCGTTATTACTGGATTATCATACGAATTATCCACTTTGTTTTCTATTACGACATTCAACGGAATAAAATCTTTTGTAGCTGTGTTAAGTGTTTGTACACTATTATTAGTATGAAATATATTGTTTTCTTCTGATGTTAGTGATTTAATATCATTGTTATTCTTTAATAAAAGCAGAAAGCAAAATGATTTAAATTTATATTATGTTCTTCATTAATAAACAAACCTTTTTTTCCAAATTAACATCTTCTTTAACACCACATCGAATCCAATCATGTATATATTTAGGTAAACAATAGCAATTTACATTACGAATACGTATTATTAATTTTGGATCGATTTCATTTGATTTAAGTGGACGCGTTAAATAAGATACAATAACTCCAACAATTATAACAGTAGTAACACCTATTGGTGTATACCACATATAGCTAATGGAATAAAAACCAAGTAATGGATTAGCTCTGAAATAAATAAATAAGAATTTGATTGCAAAATTTTTTTTTTCTAAATCTGACTTTATTGATGTTGTTAGTGGTATTGTAATATTTACTGGAGTAGGACAATTAGCAACTGATAATGGTAAACGTGCACTTTTCATTTGTTTTTTTGTTAGTTGTGCTCCCAAAAATATCCAACATTGTACAAACAGACTTGCTAGAAAACCAACTAAACCTCCACGACGATTAACTTGTGGAAAAAAGAAGCCAAGAAAGAAAACACCCGTTATTGGACCAGATAAGACACCAGATAATGATAATGCAGCATTCAGTATTGATCCAAGATAACTAACAACATATGTTAATAACATAACTATAGCTCCTAATACAATTGAAAAGATTTTTGATATTAAACCTTGTCGTTCATCACTTAAAGTTCTACCCATTAAACCTTTATAAACATCTTCAATAACAACTGCTGCAAGACTATTTAAACCAGATGATATTGTTGATAATGAACCAGAAAAAACGCACGCTAGAAATATTCCTGGTAAACCTTTTTTACTGCTTAATACATCCATAACAAAATATGGAAATATTTGATCAATATCAGAAACATATTTAGCTGTGTATGGATCACAATCAACATAAAATGCATAAAGAATAATTCCAATAAGACTTGAAGACAATATAATAAGGGCTGTCCCAGCCGCATTTATAAATAATGCTTGTTTAGCACCATGTGTTGTTCGAACACACATATAACGTTGTATTTGAGTTTGATTAAAGCTATACATAGATAAAGAATTAAGCGAGCCACCAATCAGTAATGACCAGATTGTGTGACGAACGCGAGGATCAAAACTGCCACTTAAAATAGCACAAAGAAAAACAAACTTTTAACAACTTAAGATATAATCATTACATGATGACTAGACTTTTCATCGCAGGTCAAACTGTTGCGAACGAATCGTTGCATGAGCAGAAAGTGGATGTAACTGATGAACGCGGCGTCTTCCTCCAGCAACATCAATACTCAAACTCCGTATCCAGAAAAATTATTTCAAAGTTCTGTTTGTGCGACGAAAAGCCCTGTCATTATTTTATCTGAGAATAACAACAACTTTAACCGATTAAATGTATATGAGTGAATTGCAACTTTATTGTACCGTCATACCTGTGAACGTAAAAGTTTAATATTTTCAGTACGGTTTTTGTTACATTATTTTCTCAATATTAAATGTACACTGATATCTCGATTTTCTATCTAGCAACATTTTTTTACCTTGTTGGGCATACAACTCTCTTAAGGTATAAAAAGTTGAGATGAAATTTTAAATATTTTATCTTACTCATTGTGGTCAACCTTCATTTTAAATATCAAGGTCAACAAGCTTATGTTTCGTGACAGCAAGAAAAATTAGTATGAATATGTCACGCAAGATAATTATGTGCATCACTGCATCACAACTAAAGCTCAAGTAAATACATAATGTATTACTTGATTTCAAATGTAAGGAGCTATCAAGAGTCATGAGAATTAATCCTAGATTGTGTCTCACAGATAATTAAATTCACAGAAACAGGTCTCTAATTATATACATCCTCTAATATAGTTTAAGAAAAATCATGCTATTTTGGCCACTAATTCTAGGTAACACATGATTTATCATTACAAAGACAAAGCTCAACGTTAAAATCTAAAATACTGTTGAAAAATTCAACTTGGGCGACTATTATCAAAACCATTTGACCTTGACTTTAAATAGTATTGTACACAAAAACTCTCGTATTTCAACCAATTTTTTAGAGGTAGTCGGAAAAATTTATTCATACTCTCTTCTCATATAGTAGTATAGAATACACTAATCACTATCTTCATAATCGAAATTTTTTTTTTCATCCATTCTTATTCACAGAACGGCGCACATTTTTCTAGATAAAAGTAACTGAATACTACTGGTAAACATTCAATGAATATCTTTCATAACTGTGATATGTTATTCGGTACACAGATAAAACTGACATAGGCAACTAATCGGATTACCTCAATTACTTTCTTGCTTTTAAAATGTTTTGTTAGATGGATTGTATTGGAAATCATTCATTTTTCAGCGTTATCTTTCAATAAGAAAAATGAAACTATATTGTGTAGTCTAAATCACAGATAGAAGTGTACCAAATCCAATTCTTAGACTTGATAGGATTTTACTAGATTTGAAGTTGATTGGACCTGGATCTGACACCCTTCACAAAGACTTTAGGTTTATGATATAAAAACTGAGAGTGTACAGCTCACACTTACGGTGAGCATAAGTAGCACATCCCTAGAATCGACCAATCAGATTCCTTAAAGTTGTTTCTCAACTATTCTAAGGATGAAACCTACTGTTGTTCGATTTATATGACAGAGGATCTCGGATAACCCTGTAGTTGGTCCGAACAACAATATCTTTCATCTTTACAATAGCTGAGCATGAGCTTCCTGGAATCTGATTGGTCAATTGTAAGTACGTACAGCTGTGCACTCTCAGTTTTCATACCAAATACCTAAAGTCTTTGTGCAGGTATTCCAGATTCAAGTCAAGTTGAATTCAAGCGAAGAATTAGAATTGCATTTTATGTATCCCTACTCATAGATATTCGATAGTGAAATAAACCCATTTTGACTATTCAAATTGTTTCCTTTCGAAAATTTACCGAATCATCGCAAGCATACCATCAAATAGCTCGATCTATAGTTGTTCAAGTCTAAAAGGCTTATTCTTCAATACAATACCTGTCGAATTGAATTCTACCACCTTTTGATGCTTTTGAGAATGTTAGTTCAATACCACCGACTGCTATAAAACCTAAATATTCGCATACATAAAATTAAATAAACTTTAAGATATTTGCTAATAATTTCTCAAACCTTGTATAATAGTAGCAAGAAGACCAACAAGAATAACTACTGCTTGTAAAACATCTGTCCAAATGACTGCTTTCATACCACCCTATAATAAAAGTCAACTAAATTTTCTTTTTTATCTTTTCTCTACTTTCTAGCATACCACTGATGAATAAAATGTACAAATTACACCCATCAAAACGGCAGAAAGCCAAATACTCAAACCAGTCGCTAGAAAAATTAAGAGAGTTCGTGACAGGACCAAGGATCGCTCTACTAATATGAGATACTGATCTAAACTGAAATCTTTGATTTTTTATATGCATTCAAAAGGTCATTGTTTACAACTACCAAACTGAAATTTTTAGCGTGTTTGGATGCTCTATAGTAAAATTAACCTAGATCAACTTTTCAGCATCACTTACCTACTATCCAAAAAATAGTGATAATATGTCGTATAAATGTCTACTAGGATTATACTTGAACAATTCAGAAAATTATTTACTGAAATTATGTAATATATCATGAGTGGAATATGTCGTGATTTATGAGTTCGAAACGACAGATTTTTGACAATATGGATGTACGTGTGGGGATACACAGAAGACCTACAGACCAATACTAATACCTACACCCTGCTTTTTTCTGTCGAAAACTGATAATAAACCACTACGTGAAAGAGAGATGTAAATCCCAATTCATCTCGAAAGTGAAATTTTTTCTCCAGCATTTTTTTCACCATTTTGTAGAGAATAAAAAGTGACATAACATATATATGATATTCAACATGACCGTTGTCCATTTAAAAAAGTAGAAATAGATATGCTGTCAAAAATCTGTCATTTCGAACTCATAAATTACGACATATTCCACTGATGATATATCACATAATTTCAGTAAACAATTTTCTGAATTGTTCAAGTATAATCTTAGTAGACATTTATACGATAAATTATCACTATTTTTTGGATAGTAGGTAAGTGACGCTGAAAAGTTGATCTAGGTTAAATTTACTATAGAGCATCCAAATAAGTTAAAAATTTTGATTTGGTGGTTGTAGATAAGGACCTTCTGATTACTATAAAAAAATTAAAAAAATTAAAATTTTGACCCGTGCCTCAAATGCTCGGTGCTGTCACAAATTGTTTCTTTAGATTCATTAGTTTTTTTCTTATTGAATATTGAATAAGTGACTCACTTTGACTTAGGGCTAATGCCGGAGCATATAAAACCATGGCCATATAAATCAACTATTTATACAGGAAAATAAATAATACTAGATCCAATGAATTATTTACCATACTGAACGAAAATGCAAATGAAGCACACATACGCACGGATCGATCAAAACGTTTTTCTAAATACTAAATAATATTTTATGTAATATCAAATCCTGAGAATATAGAAAATACTTCATAAGCACTTGTAAAATTCATTTCACGAAATTTAGGCATAAACACTAATGCTGTGACTGTTGATGCAATTGCCCATGAAAGAGCTAAAAGAAAATTAATATTATCGTTTATATTTAACAAACAATCAACAATTGTATTTTTATTCAACATAAACAATTAAAGTATAGAAAACTGATATTGAATGAGACATTCAAATGAATTATTGATATTCATTATCTAATTTTATTTTATTCGAATGTAAAGTATAAATGCCAAAATAATCTGAATTAGTCTTTATTCTGGCTTTACAGAACCTGTGAGCCTATACAATCTTAAATCAATCCGAATCAGTGAATGACTTCTTTCTGCACAAATTTATTTTTATGTCAACGTTATAAATTAAAGACTGAAAGAGGAAACAAATAAATATTTCACCTTGATAACAATACATTGTTCCATACATATATATTTCACTTGGTGTTCCTAATAATGTAATAGCTGAGAGAAACGAGACCATTATACTAAGAGCTGTTGGAAATACCTGAATACAGAATAATCAACCTACAAGAAAAAGCAATAATTAAATACATACTCCCAACCACCATCAGCTACAATAGAAAGAGCAAAAATGACTTTGGTTTTCAATCAAAGAATACTTTTTTTATTAATTAAGTACCTATCATAAATTCTTTAGCTGAACTTTTTTTTGATTTAAAAAAACCAAATATAGCACCAATAACAGCCGATGACAGGAGAAGTAGAATAAGAAGAACATAGTCAACAGCGCTCAATGTACGTAATACCATTTTCTTCTGTTGCAATATACTATAATTTTAAATTAGATCTCTATTATTTTCTTTGTGTTGATCAATAATCTAGTAGAAGACAAAAAGAAAAATAATAGTAACAACAGATCAAACATATAAGTGTAGAAAAAGCGAGATAAAAAGTAATAATACAGCGTAAAAACTTTATTTTTCTATGAAATGGCAAGCCAACGAATAGTTTATAAGACGATGCCATCATAATATAATATGTCATAATGATAAAAGTGAACTTTACCGATTGTGTATTTGATGCAAAACATTTTCAAAAACAAAACGACAAACATTTGTTTAGAAGAGCAAATATTCAATTATCATTGACAATGGATAAGAAAAAAACCTCACTTGTATTTCATCTATTTAAGGGAAGTATATACAAGACGTTTGCTTCAATTTATTCTTGTTTTGGAAAAGAATGACGGTCTTTGTTTACGGCAATATCTAATGTCTTTATACACATTACCTTGTACTACGAAATAATTACTTGGATGATTTGATTCATTTGTCAGAAAATGTTATTAAAAACGTATTCGATGAAAATATCAGGAAAGCGAAAATAGGTCGATACGAATGTTAGGGTGGGTGTGAGTGTGGGTATGGGTATTAGGTACAAGTAGTCTGCATTTATACCCACACTCATCCACCCACATCCTCACCCACACCCTGCTACAATCATAGAATTGGACAATGGTCTACTCGATATTTTTTTCTTTCCTAAACATATACCAATTTTTCAGATTTTGAAATAAACATGGCAGGCGTATTTGATACAAAAAGTTTTAGTTCGAATCAGATGAGACATGAAAAATAAGATATTCAAGGAAATGAAGTGAAACTCGATGTGGATGTAGGTGTGAAGTGTGAGTGGGTGTTGGTATGATATGGGTGTGAATGTCGATGTGGGTGTGGTTGCAGCTGTGACTGTTGGTGTGGATGAGGTTAAAGAGTTGTTGATCACCCACAGCACACCCACACCTAGACCCACACCCCACAACCACCCACACCCATACCCACACACCCACATCCAGACCCACATCCCACAATCACCCACACCCATACCCACACACCCACATCCAGACCCCATCCCACAATCACCCACACACCCACGGCACACCCACATCCAGACCCACACACCCACGCCACCCATCTTCAAGCCTACACTCACACCCACAGATACTCGAACCTACAGACGCCACACGTGCATCCACATCTACACCTACATTCACCCCCATAAGATATGAATTGTCTCAATGACTACTAATCTGCTCATTTCTTTTCGTCGAACTAATTCAACGGAAAGAAAATCCTTAGGAGCAAAAATCATAATTTTCTATGAAAAAAATCCAATTAAAACTCAAAATAATCAATGAAAAGTAAACCCGCGGAAAGTAAATCGTACACACGGTTATTCATATACTCTCCTCAATTTGAGTATTACTGTGTCAACTTTTGACGATCATCTTGCTTTATTAGATGAATGTCTTTGCCAATTATCCTATATTTGACGTCATAATCTATCGTATCAGCTATTCACCATTATCAATTGATAATACAGTAAAGCACCATTTTAGCAATTGCTTTGATCAACAGAGTCGAAAAAGCTTTTCTTTGTCGGAGATAAATATCAAGAATTCCATCCAACTAATATGTAGTTTACAAAATATTCTAGATAAACGAGAAAAACTATTCTATGTGCTTAGCTTCTTAATTTATTTTATAAATGATCCTGTCTACTCTTATCGATCAATACATGAGTGTGGATGTGGTGTAGGTGTAGGTGTGGGTGAAGAGAATCATGACAGCCACAGTCACACTCACACCCTTAGATGGGACACATGAAAATGAGACTTAAAACAGGATATGAAGAATAAATTCATTATATTAAGCGTAAAAATCTCATTTAAGTACTGGGAGTAATTCAACTGATTGTCCTAGTAGTCTCTGAATCTAATGATCTAACAAGAAGTTTTCTTTATTTGTTTGGCAGCATTCAGTTGTTGTCGTACCATAGGGATAGTTTTGATATTTTCGATCCAATTGTTAACACCAATCAAATCATTGTGTTCACTTTTTCGTACCATGTCTCCCATCGTTCGTTCATAATCAGCTTTGAGTTGTAGAAGTTCCTTATGCAACTGCAAATTAAACTGGTGATAAGGTTCATTTCTCCAAATATGACTTTCCTCATAGATCATTCGATTGAGACTTGCCAAGAACGGATCATTAGTGATACAATGATCACTAGTTATAAGAAAATGAGCAAAGCATACACTTGCAGAAAATATTTCATTGTCCCAAGTAACTAAGTCATTTAGTTGATACTTGACTCTATCGACTGCCTCGTAATCCAGTTTATAATCGACCCGGACGTGTTGCTTTGGGGGACATGTACAATATTCACATATTTCTCGATATTTGTGCAAACAATCACACGTAATCCAAAAGTGGCCATATTGTCGAATTGGACGTGGGCACAAGCAGCATATAGCGGAAGATCGTTCAATAGGTTTTGGACGAAGTTCGACAAATTTATATTGGGTTTCTAACTTGTATATAATTTTATTTCGAAGAATGTTTCGCATTGCTTCAGTCATCGGACGAACCATTTCAAGAATTTCGATTCGGACATATTCTGCTTTTTGTCGTGCTTGATGCAGGACATATGGAGGATCGATTTGATGAATATACTCCAGAAGTAGATCCACTCCTTTCTTGGAGAACTTCCAGCTCTTTTCATGATCCTTCGCTAGATGATCGGACCAACGTACTTTAGCTAAATGAAGAAAGAAGGTACTGTCGAAGTAAACTATGCTGTTAGGTTTCACAGGAATTTTGTCACGGGAAGATGATCGAAGCAGTCGTTCAACTGCAGCTTTTCTTTCATTATCACTCATTCGATGTGAAAGACATTTAGTGAAGCAAAAAACTAACTTGTTATGCGCTTCTTGTCCAATGAAATTGAGCAATCGCGTCAAACACTGTCCATATGCAGCGAGTTCCGAGTCGCCAGACTCTATCAGAACACATATGGCATTCAAATGCGTCAGATTTGCAATATATGATAGTATGTGCTCCATGGTTTTCTTGTCGTGAGCTTGACCATGTGAATCAGAAAAGCCAGGAGTATCAATGATGCAAAACTTCTGTCCATTTTCAACGTTCAACTTGTACGATTTACAACGCTGCGTTATAGACTGACCACGGTGATTAAAATCTTCGTTGGGATCGTTTATGCCGAGTTGAATGAAATGTTGTTCACCCTCAGTTTTTGGCGAAAACATCAATGGAATCAATATGTGTAGGACAAATTTATTCGATTGAGCTTCCTCGAATTTTTTGAATTGTGGGCAGTTAGCGATGGCGTTAATTAATGTCGATTTGCCAACTCTTGATTTACCAATGAGAATGATATTGATCATCTGATTTGTAGAAGGCACAGCTGGTTGTGGATCAGATTTTCTCGTCGTCGCTTTTAAAAAGTCACGGATATCAGCACTTGGATTATAGGTCGTTGAGGGAAACGCTTTTATCAAGTTCATCTCGTATGTACAGTAAGTGAAATCGACATAAACAAGCTTCAAGTAATTTTTTTCTTTACGATCATTAGCGAGTCGTGTAACCATGTCTTGCAATTGGGACCAATGCATTGCATTTAAACAGTCGTTGGAGCACAGGATACGTTGGTCCTGCCTATCTTTATTTACCTTTCGTACGATCTCATCTTCACTGTCGCCTCGTTTGATACCACATCTATCGGCATTCAAATAATCGAATCCTTTGGTTGTCAAATACTTGATAAAATCCTGTTTCGCTTCTAAAACTCGTAGATCATGCTTCAGATTTTCGATTCTCTCCTTCACCTTCATTTCTTCTTCCTCAATCCGTAAGTCACATATGATAGCCTCTTGCTTCTCTTTACCTTGCCGAATACGCGGAAACAAATCTTGGCCTTGTTTCTTTTCCTTGTTATATTGATCTACTAGTTCCGTCACTTTACTGTGCACAGAATCAAGTTGTTTCCTGAGCTCAGTTTTGAAAACATCCAACTTTATGTTCCTTTGAAAGCTTTTCCATATTGCATGGGCAGAAGATAATCGAAGCCAATGCTCTTCAATCATTATTGCAATCCTCGGTTCGATTGGAATAAATTTAGGATTCCGTTCATTTTGATCAGCATAAAAGATGTTGATGGGATGAAGAATATAGTTGCAAGGTAATAGATCAGCATGATTCTTTTTGATTCTGAGAATTTCTTGGCATACGCGAAATAATGTTGACTGTTTGGATAAATTGGATGTGTTTGAATAGACGTGTGTGAAAAGAACTTGACTCAGTGCATTTTCATTAACATTTAGTCCCTTCTCATCTTTCATGCATTGACATATTTGATCGAGGCTATCATCAATGATTTTCGAATCATCAAGCGGTAATCTCAATATAACTACAACATCGATACCTTTGTCTATTCCCGTGATAAGATGAGTGGCTGGAGTTTTACACGCTTCTTTGAAAATGGTTTTGTCGTCAGGGAAAGCTTGACTTCGTACTAGGTATGAATAATAGAAGATGCGAGTACATTCATCGATTACAAAAGGATAATCAAGAACTGAATCAATCCCAGTCGATGAAACCAAGTTCGATAGGACACTCAATCGAAGGTCAGCAGGAAAATCAATGAGTCGAAGGATATTCCGATTCTCAAGTTTCTCGCCACTTTTTATCTCACATTTTATCGCTGGATACGAGTAACCTTCCTTAACGTTCAAGTTCACACTTTCGGTCACTAGAATACGATCTCGCCATGCATCATATGTATGTCCTATACGACCGTTAGGATCGATTGCTTTGCGCACAACAGCGTTCGATGTTATGCATTGATCCAATATTCTTTTCAGACGTGCACGTAAGTCTTGCGTCGGAGAAATGGAGACTCTGTGTCTCGAATTGAACTGAATGTTATTATAAGCATTTATTAGTACGCTTGTGTCTGGGTTTGTCTGATTTCTGAACCATTGTTTCCCTTCGTAGGCAATCCAACTGCTTACACATTGAATGAAATCTTTGGCATATATACATTCCAGCCATTTCACTGGCAACTTCTTGTAGCCATAGTAAGCTCCTGCCAACTGACCATAAATAGCTGCTGTTGTGTCTGTATCATCGCCTAGATTAACTGCATTAAGTGCACCTTTTTCAAACGAGTCTGCATCACTCCAAAAAGCCCACAAAGCAGCTTCCAGAGCATTGACAATATATCCTTTCCCTCGAATTCCATCTTGATATCCACCTGGTTTTTTATATGATCCGTGCGCGATCGCCATGATTTCAGGATGAAGGGTTCGATTGCCAAACCAATGTCGATGCTTATCGTAAAAAGTTTTACTAGTTAACTCATTTTTGTTTGCACCATTCAGAGCAGCTATAATGAGAGCTCCATAATAACAACATGCATCATAAGCTTTGTCATCTCCATGAGTGATTCGACCACTAATGCCAGAATATTCAATGGCCAGTTCCGGATTGTGGTAAAAGAAGAGTGGTACAGGTGCAAGACGCATCAGGGCACCGTTCCCAGCCACATCGTCTTTACTGCACTTCACGTCGAATGCTTGAAGAAGATCCCGATTGGACAAAAAGTCTAGTTGGTCAAAAGGAATGCCATGATCATGTGCAAATTTTCTTTGACGCTTTTCAAATTCTTCGATGGATTGTCGAGTAGCCGCACCAATGTCGAAACATTGACCAGTCGATGACATGTAGCCATGTCGATACCACCACTTGTAGCGAACTAGTTGATCATATGGAACAAAGTCTTGACAAGCAATCAGTGAATTTGCCAAACAAAGTGCCATTGAAGCATCATCAGTGAACTACAAAAGCGAACTAGTATGCAACTTCTATTTCTAGATTACCTACCTGTCCCTTTTGTAGACCCCATGTTCCTCCCCCTTCTAGGTCTTTGACTGGATTAGCTACCAAATAACTGTTAGGTCTGAATTCAACATGAGCACCAAGGGCGTCACCTATGGTCAAACCAAACATTGAGCCCTGGATACGATCTACGACATCAGTGTTGATTTCTCGCAATGGTGCAAAATCGTTCGAGCTGATTCCCAATTCATCGGGTTTCTTGATGGTTGTTTTGTCGGCATCATGAAACTGGTATTCGAGCCAAGGTTTGTCTAATCAAAGAAAAACACTCATACTTTGCTCGATACAACGATAAAGTTTTCCCGTAATGCGCGAAAAGTCATCAATACTTACTGTTTTTATGATTTTGTTTACTAGTCATTTTCAGTTGCGCTTCTTTTTCTAGAAATAAATAATGAAATGACTTTCCGAAGTACATCGTATTCGACATCAAGATGTGATAAAACCACTTGAACTTAAAAATGTGAAAGAAAGAAAGTTGCATATCAACTCATTATATCTAAGCTTTTTATAACTTTAAGAGTGAATTGTAGTCCATGAAACCGATAGGAAGAGAAATATTGATTTACCTGAAGTAACATGTATTCATTGAGTATATTTACAACTCAAACCTATACGAATTGATAAGCTTTAAAAACCTTATTCAAAGGCATCGTTTGATACTAACACTGATGAGTCGTATTCTTCAGATGATTCGACCAAGACTTATTCACTACTTTAGCGTTCATAATGCAACTTACGAGTCGCGCTACTTATGACACTGATGTCGTTTTTAGTTTTGATGAATGAGAAAGAGCTCGTCCGGATGTTTCTAGCGATGTACAGAACCTTGTTTTATTTCGGTTTCGGCTAATTTAGTCTATGTTTACCACTTTTTTGGGACACCTCTGATGAAGTAGGCTCTGAGTCATACAAATTATCAGAGAGTTTTCCCTAAAATCATGGAATATGTAACTATAGACTTCAGTTACAGTGCCGGTAAACTATTTTGTCGTAGTTGTGGTTCGAATCTAGTAGCTTTACCTTTTCAAGGCGTTAGTCGCAATCAGTGGCAAGGTGTGGCTGTGACTGTTTAGTGTAGTTTGGGATGAAAATGGGATGCCGATGTGCGCACAGGATTCGATTGTGAAATTGATATAATGTGAATGTGGGTAATTGTGAAAGCAGTCTCATATCTACACTCTCTTCTGTAAAGCATTTTGACATGCAGGACAACTATGAGTAGCCAGATTACTGTGAAGACAATGCTCCCACATGCTCTGTATATAAATACTATAGCACTTTAAGCAAAAAGTTATTCACTGTAATATTACTCTGAAACACAATTGTCCCGCAACAATTTCGTCCGCTGACAAAAAATACCCAGTCAACTCCAATTTCTCGACAACATAGATATGATAAATGCAGCCAATCGAATGCCTTGCTTTAACGCCTATTCAATGACTACTATGCATATTCCTCTTACTCATGTAAGCAACCACTGATGTAAATATTGAAACGAGAACGGGGAAAGATTCTCTGAATAATGGCGAAAATATATACTTCTCCATCAGCAAGAATAAATATATGCTGTGTAGTCATCTGGCAATGCTTGCTGCTCATACAAAAAAGCTTTACTCATTTCATATTACTCATCTTGAATAGCCGTTTCCCTTTTTATGTATGATAAACCGAGTACATGTTTTTTGTTTAATCATTGTCATATATTACTTATCACAATCCCCAAGCAAAACCAAATGAAAAAATTATCAGTAGAGCATTTTCGCTTTTTGTCGTTATCATTTTCTCCTTGAAAAAGAGTAGTTGTCGTCGTCTTTGTGTCGTTTAGCACACATTTTCTTTCTTTTTTCCCATTTACCTGCGGCAGCACACATACACCCTATCAGCAATAGAAGCCTATGGCGAGAACAAGGGTGTGTGTGTGAGTATGGATGTGAGTGTGGAGTTTCGATGGTGTGGATGTGAGTGTGGGGTGTGGGTGGGTGGGTGGATGTGGGGTGTGCGTTGATGTGGGTGTGAAGCGTGCATGTGTGGGTGTATGGGTGTGGGTTGGTGTGGGATGTGCGTGGGTGTGGGGTGTGCGTGTGTGTGTATGGAGTGTGCATGTATGTGTGGATATGGGGTGTGCGTAGGTGTCAGTGGGTTTGTGGGTTTGGGTGTGGATGGGTGTGGGGTGTGCGTGGGTGTGGAGTATGCATGTGTGTGTGAATGTGGGGTGTGCGTGGGTGGGTGTGTGGGTGTGGGTGGATGTGTGGGTGTGGGGTGTGCGTGGGTGTGTGGGTCTGGGGTGGATGTGGAGTATACATGTGTGTGTGGACGTGGAGTGTGCGTGGGTGTG